GTCAACGACTCTAATCAATAGAACAAGCCATCAAATTAAAATATTCAAAACGTCCCACATCACGAATCACGAAAAGGTCCTCCATTCAGCAGACGCTTGTCAATAATTGAGATCGAAGGGGGATCGTTCCCACTCCAGCAGACCAACCATTGTTTAAGGCCTGTACGTGGCTCTGCCTACGACGACTAATCGCCATCACATCTCGCCAGTAAAAATCCTTATGTAAAGTGACACGCTTTCATCCGACACGTTCCTCGTGGCGCCACTTGCTCGGCTCTCCTCCAGTCTAGTGTAAGTAATGAATAAATAAAATATGCACGACTGGGTGCGGGAGACCGTGTCACGTACTTTTTATGAAATTGTGTGCTGAAATTCTACATGGCAGTGGTTGCCCAAAAGGGATAGAACTTTCCGAACATCGCACGAAGTCTTGTCTCGTTCGCCAAGCAACACCATCGCATCTTGTGCATAGGAAATAATGCGACCCGAAACGCGTGACTTTCGATAATAAAACATGCATGGGGGGTTCGTTTGCACTCCCTACTTCTACTTAGATAGAAAGCATGGTCCCAGCACTATACTGGGAAGGAAAAGATGCCAACATTCTCGAGACATGCTACAAGCCAACAACGCCAACGACGACGACGACTTGAGGTCGTCTATCTCTCGGCACTCTGTTTCATCTGCCTCTCGTGTCGTGAGCCGCCAAATGAACATTAGCTATATGGACCATGTCCTCCCAACCCCAACCCCAACTCCTCACCGTCGGCATCGATGTAGTCTGTCTGCCGCCGCCAGCCAAATTTTCGGGAAGCTTGAACCCGACTCGTGGAAGATTTTATAAGAAGGAATAATGAAGATGCGATACGCACAGCAGTGCGGTGCGGCACTCATATTTTTATTTGGGGGGTGGCATTCCCAGTTTGTTTGGAATTTCAATTTTTAAGACGGTGTAAGTCCCTTTTTTATTTGGCTCAGAATCGGTAATGATCTGTAACGAATGTTTCCTTGGTGCCAGGATGACTGAACTTTCGTTCGCCGCAATACGGCCTCGTGACGTCGCTTTATAGCATAGTTGTATGAAGTACGGTCCTGTGTGGAAACATAAATAATTGCACTATATTTGTCCCATTATGTAAGTGCACTCTCGTCTTTTATATTCAACTAATAATCGTTTTTTTGGTATAGTTTAGTCGAAGTAGCTTCGAAACAAAACACCAAAAAATGATAAGACCTACACAAATTTAACAAAAAAGTGAATCTTAGACAATTGTCTGAGTAGCAAATTTTTCCATCAGAGGGTGCAGACGCCGAGTTGGCATGAAGGGCATCATTCCTCGTTTTTGTTCCGAATTCATTCCATTAGCAGTGATGATTCTACTAACTGACGACCCGTTTCCGGGACGAAGATTTGTATAGAAACTAATAAACTAACTACAGTACTGGACAAAATAAATCATACGCTCAACGCAAAAAAGTACATTAAATACATCATATTTTTGCTATTCTGCACGCAATTTCAGCAGTATATTCAGAAAAGTTCAAGTATTTCTTATGGTGCATTCAATTAGCTGAATGAAAATTGTTAAATAATGTACTTTTCGACTTCTGCAAGAATTATATTTCTACGGATCCGCGCGGTTTCTACCCCAAAAGATCCACATCTACCAATCTCGTCCAGTTTACTTCGTTTTGCATACGCAACATTGATGCTGGTGCTCAGATCGACACCGCATACACTGATTTGAAATCAGCTTTCGATAGAGTTGACCACGGAATATTACTGAAACGTCTAGGAAGAATTGGTGTCTCTGCGGATCTTGTTAGCTAGTTTGGATCATACCTTACGGATCGTAGCCTCACCGTTAATATCGGATTTGAATCTTCGGAGCAATTTTCAAACTAATCTGGCGTGCCACAGGGTAGCAACCTGGGTCCTTTGTTATTCTCACTCTTCATCAACAAGCTTTCTCTCGTACTACCATCTAGCTGCCGTGTGTTTTACGCTGATGACGTCAACATATACATGATCATTAAAGGTATCGAGGACTGCTATGCTCTACAATTGCTGCTGAATAGTTTTGCTGATTGGTGCACCCGGAACATGCTGACGTTGAGCACCACAAATGTAACGTTATATCGTTTCATCGCAAGCTCAACCCGATTACGTATGATTATTCAATTAATGGTCAGTCCCTTGAGCGTTGTCTTCAAGTTCGTGATCTTGGTGTCATCCTGGATTCAGCGCTGACCTTCCGATCGCACTACAACGATACTATCTGTAGAGCCAACCGACAGCTGGGATTTATGTTCAAAATATCCTGCGAATTTACCGATCCCCTCTGCCTCCGGTCTCTGTACTGCGCACTGGAGCGATCGATTCTGGAATCCACCTCTGTAGTATGGTGCCCGTACCAGTGAACCTGGACTGGTAGGATCGAAGTAATTCAGAAAAAAATTGTGAGATATGCCCTACGACGCCTTCCGTGGCGAGATTAGTTAAACCTACCACAATATGGAGATCGATGCAGATTATTGGGACTGCAGACGCTTGAGCAGAGACGGAATGATGTCCAGTATCATCCACGGTGGATGCCATCCGCGACGTCATCCAGACGGCAGAGGTGGTCCACCGGAAACGAAGGGGCATTCGTTACTGCGCGGTGGTAACCTTAGATGTGAAGAACGCGTTCAACAGCGCGTGCTGGGGGGCGATAGCCCGCTCGCTACACCAGCTCCTATTTTCCCGGAGGGCTGTACAAGATTCTGGAAAGCTACGACACAGAAGACGGCGAAAAATGCGTAAGAGTCACCGCAGGAGTTCCACAAGGCTCCATCCTGGGCCCGGTGTTATGGAACGTCATGTACGATGGACTGTTGAGGATAAGATTCCCGGTAGGCGTGAAAATTGTAGGTTTTGCCGACGATGTCACGCTGATAGTCTACGGGGAATCCCTCGAGGAGGTAGAGCTGACAGCGGCTTACTGCGTCAAGCTTGTGGAGGAATGGATGAGATCCAGGAAACTAGAGCTTGCCCATCACAAGACGGAAGTGGTCGTAGTCAACAATCGCATGTCGGTACAGCATGCGACGTTGAAAGTCGGCGGAAGCACAATTAGGTTTGTGCGCTCTCTGAAACTCTTGGGGGTTATGCTCGATGATAGGCTCAGCTTCGGCTGCCACGTTGGGTACGCCTGCAAGAGAGCGTCTATGGCTGTGGAGGCATTATCCCGCCTGATGTCAAACAGCTCGGCAGTGAATGCCAGTAAGCGCAGGCTCCTCGCTGGGGTCGTAGTATCTATCCTCAGATACGGCGGCCCTGCGTGGGCTGCGGTACTGGATATTGACTGCCACAGGCGGAAATTAGAGAGCACACACAGGCTAATGTGCTTGAGGGCGGCCAGTGCATACCGCACTATCTCGAGAGAGGCCTATCTGTGTCATAGCAGGGATGATTCCAATCAGCCTTATCATTAAGGAGGACGTGGTGTGCTATGACGTGAGGACCGTTCGAAGGGGTGCGCAACAACGCGTGAGCTGTGTCGACCGCGAGATGGCAATCGAAGTGGGAAAACTCCACAAAGGGGAGGTGGACTTACCGCTTGATACCTTCCGTATCAAGCTGGGTCAACAGGCGCCACGGGGAAGTAAACTTCCACCTGACACAGTTCCTGTCAGGCCATGGCTGCTTTAGGAGCTACTTGCATAGGTTCAAACATGCAAGTACTCCCATCTGCCCCACGTGTGCTGGCGTCGAGGAGACCGCCGAACACGTTGTGTTCGCCTGTCCACGCTTCGAGCCAGTATCGAGCGCTATGCTAGCGATATGCGGAGCGGATACCAGTCCGGATAACATCGTTCCTAGGATGTGTGGTACCACCGAGAACTGGAGCGCGGTGGTGACTGCGGTCACCCACATAGTTTTGGAATTGCAACGACAGTGGTGTGCCGAGCAGCAGTTGCCTACTGCCCGACTAGATCGATAGAGTATTGCTAGAGAAGCGCCATAGCGCTACAGCGGCCCCTCCCACGAAGTAATGCCTTCGGGTGGTTCCGGGGAGGTCAAGGGCCAAGCGCGAAAACGGCGCCGGTGGTGTAGTGGTAAGCGTGATTACCTCTCACCCCAGCAGGCCTGGGTTCAATCCCAGTCGGCGCCGCCGGGATGTTCTGAGGCATAACATCTCTGATCACGCCTTCCTTCGGATGGGAAGTAAAGCCGTTGGTCCCCGGTTCATGAGTTGATGGGTCGATAGGTAGGGTCCAGGTGTGGGAGCTGCCTTCCTGGCACGTCGGTAGCATTGGTGCTCAGCACGGAAAACAAGATCGACGGAAAAAACAAACCAAAGGAAGAAGGGCCAAGCGCACAGGGTAAGGTTTAGTGGGTTGGGAGTGAAATTCTCCCATCCCCACACCCTGAGTTCCTTCCTTTGAGCGTGCGTGTTGATGAGTGGATACAATGATCTTATCAAGATGTAGCACTTGTTTTTGGTTTTGTCAACGTGCTTCCTGAAAATCAGCTTACTGTCTAATGTTAGGCCTAGGTAGTGTTGTGTTCTCGAAGAGAAGGAAACTAGTTTTAGGTTTAAGAGCTAATTATATTTCGACTTGTCTCTTCGGTGGTTGGAACTAAACTCACAAAATATTTTCAGTTTGTTACTTTCCTACCATGGCTACAAATCATGGCCTACCAGGCAACATATTCTTCTGATGTTTACGCCGATGGTACATCTTTCCCTTTTTTTAAAAAAAGAGATCGTAGGGTGCCAGCCAAGCTGGAAGTCTACGGGTTTTTCCTTCACGCTGTTAGCAGGAACAACAGATTCGTCATGCATCATTACATCATCGGGCTCGTCATCATCAGGAATCAGTTCATTATCTGGAATTGGTTCTTCTATCAGCACTGCTGGGACCAACGGTTTCGGAGCTTGTAGGTGAAACTCGTCAACTAGCAAGGCGAAGGGAAGTTGATTGCGTGGATTTGGAGATTGATCGGCATCATTTTAATCCGGATATCGTTGTTTTGGCTGGTTGGTGTGTGCTCGAATCAAGCGTCCATGTTCGAGCAAAACAGTGTAGTTCACTTTGCCCTTGCGCTCGATTACCTGTCCCGGAATCCAATCGATTGTGTTGCGACGATGGACCTGAGCGTAGACCAAATCATCCGGATCGAATGATTTCTTCACTACGCCATGCCGTCTGTTGAATTCAGCGTTCTGCTTCTTGTTCTCCAAGGTTGGACTCTGAACACAGGGCTTCAATAGGTCCAGGCGAAGTTCGTATTGGTCTTCCTAAAATATATGGGCAGGTGTCTTATCATCCGAAGCGCGTCTATTTGGAGTTGACCGGAAAACTGAGAGAAACGTCTGGAGATGATGGAATGTTACCATGGCTTCCCCTTCGGTGAGTTTCTTGAGTCCTCTCTTAAGGGTGTCAACAAAGCGTTCAGGTTGCCCATTCAATTGTGGGTGGTAAGGGGCTGCCGTCAGGTGGTGGATCCCATTTTCTTCACAGACTTGCTTGAATCGAGCACTTACAAACTGGGTACCGTTGTCCGAAACGAGGGTGTGTGTTTTGCCGTACCTTGCGAAAGTTTCTTGCAGAATTTCCAATGTCGCTGTAGTAGTTTTACAGTGGGACCTGAAGATTTCCGGCCACTTCGAACGACCACGACGAAGTAGTGATAACCACCAACTGGACCTGCGTAGTCGATGTGGATCCTCTCCCACGGTTTCGTTGGTATCGGCCACGATTCAAGGGTAGTCTTACGGGGCGATTTTGTTACAACAGCACACGGGAGACACTGGCGCACAAACGTTTCAACATCGTCGTCTATGTTGGGCCAGTAAACAAAACTTCTTGCGAGTGACTTCATTCGGTCTATTCCGGGGTGTCCACGGTGGAGTTGTCGGATGATGCGCTTGCGGAATCGTTCTGGAACTACAACTCTGTTAGCGAACATGACGCAGTCTTGGGTGACCTGGAGGCTCTCTCGTCGGGAATAGAACTGACGAACAGCTGTATCTGGTAGCTCGCTTACAATGTTTGGCCAGCCATTGCGGATGTAGTTGATTACCACTTGTAGGACCAGGTCGTCTTGCGTTTCCTTGGAGATCATATCGGATGTGACCGGCAAACTGGATATTGAGTCTGCGAGAATTGCTTTCATGTCAGATTCCGTTTGGAGAGCAGCAATCACGTATTCCTCGTCTGGTTTGCTGTGACAGCTCATCAAGCGGGACAACACGTCGGCATTTCCAAAACTAGCCGTTGGGATGAACTGGATGTAGAAATCATACAGCAGCATCGTTAGCGCCCAACGCTGAAGACGATTGGCGGTGTAAACGGGAATGCCGTTCTTGCTGCCGAAAATTTTAAGGAGTGGTTTGTGGTCGGTCTGCAGCAAGAATTTTCGTCCGAATATCATCTTGTGAAAACGGGTGACAGTAAATACCAACGCGAGCGCTTCCTTCTCAATTTGACCATAGTTTTCTTCTGCAGATACCTGAAAAGATATAAAGAGCGCTGCTGTATGTCATTAGCTCATTTTCGCTTCGGACGGCATGGTGAACAGTAATAGCAGCAGTAGGAAGGTGGTGGCTAATCCACTCCTTCACACCTAACAAGCAACAATTGACTGGTCGTGGCAAAGGAGGAAAAGGTCTAGTAAAGGAGGCGCCAAGCGTCATCGCAAAGTTCTTCGAGATAACCGCCATCGGTCGTCTGGCTCGCCGTGGTGTCAAACGTTTTTCCGGTCTGATCTATGAGGTGTGCAGAAGGTGTTCCTGAAAAATGAGGTCCAAGATGCTGTCACCTACACTAAACACCCCAAGCGTAAGTGGCCATGGATGTCCTCTTCAATTTTTTTTTTTTTTTAACTCTTTATTTGTTCCAAATTCAAAATAAATTACATTTCATTTTAACCTAGGTGCTCCAGTTACTGCAGTAACGTACCAGCCTTAATTGTTATGATATATATCTAAGTGTTTTTACATTGTTCATGTCTTGGCAATTCAGTATTTTAAACAGGTTTTTTAACCTGCATGTCAGTATAACAAGTGATATCTTAAAACTAAAAACTAAAACTAAATCTTTTCTAAATATAAAGGGAATTAATCGTTGCAATTGAGGATTGCAACGATTTTTGCCTGAAATTATTAATTATTTTGTTGGACATTTGTGCTAAAGTCTCAACATTCGAAATTTTATGTACTTCGGTTGTACTGTACCAGGGAGATGTTCTCTTCAATAAAACGGCCCTTTTCAGGGCCATCAAGCTTACATCAGTAAAGAGTTGGTATAGAATTTATCTGTGCTTGATTGTCCATATTCACAACCACAAGCCCCCAACGACCACACAAAATGCTCTCCAGAGTTGTAATCTTGTAACCAAACTTGGAAGCAGGGGTACAAGTGATTTTGATTGATTCTCTTAATCAACTTTCTCTTTGAAAAAAATTACTACAAATTTGGACGCCTACAATTCAAAAACGGAAAGAGTTGAGATTATATATAATTGATCAATTAAAAGAACTAAATGCTCTTCACATTTATTCCGTCCACTAGCGGTCCTACGTCAAGCTTCCGTTCGTGCCTCTAGGCACAGACCCTTCTACTTTTTTTGTTCTCCCGGACCAACAATTTGTGGTCTCGCGTTTATTTACACGCTGTAAGGTGCGTTAAAGAGCTCGGCACGGTCGGTATTGATGTTGGTTCGCTCGTAACTATTTATGAAAAAAAATTAAGTGTTTTCGACCGAAATTGATACCGAAACCCTGACTTTCACTCACTGGCTATAAAAAAAATATTATTCGGAATTATGCAATCATTAGATGCAAAAATGCTATTTTGTTCTTGTAAGTAGCAAGAAGAGGTAGTAAAGTATGTGTTTGACTCATAAAACCTGTCAATTTCGCTTTGAGAGCGTCACAATTAGCGGTCTTATGATTCGTGAGCGTTCACTCAGAGTGAGCACTCACGAGTCGTAAAATCGCTGATTGTGACGCACTGAAAGTAATATTGACAGATTTTATGTGTCAAACATATACTTCATGACCTCTTCTTGTAACTTACAAGTACTAAGAAGCATTATACTATATCATGATTTCATAATTCCAAAAAACATTTTTTTTACAGCAAGTGAGTGGAAGTAACCCTGCCGAAAGTGCTTCTGAACATGTTTCGCAGTTGGGTGTGGTGAAATTCGTGCATTCCCGGTTGATTTTCAGTGGAAATTCCGTATCATAAAATTGCTCACCGAGTTCCTTTTTTTTTGCCGTTCGAAGACGACGGGTTTGCTTTAGCGAGAGTGACGTTTATTGAATCCGTTTCTTTGCACGGGTGTGTTTTTTTGTAACAAGCGGTGTGTAAGTGAGCTTATGATTTTCATTGCCTACCGGGAGGCCGGTTCACCGGGTTCGGATGTTACGCTTTCGGCGTGTAGTTCTATCGAGAGTCTCGTCACCGTGTGCGGGTTTGAACACGGTCTGATTGGCAAATTAGCCGGGGAAAGTGCTGATAATGTGTCCGTCGAGAGTTTTGGTGGTGATTCGGTGGTCGACGTTGCCGTGAATCAGCGAGTTTATGGCTTGCAAAAGTGCTCGCCTCCTGGTCTCTCGCCAGTGTCAGATACGCCCAAGACTGAACGGGCGGTAGCTGGGGGCCGTGAACGCAAACCTCCTCCGAGATGACCATGGCAATGTAGGAAGTACTACAATAAAGGTAATTGCTATTAGATAGTTTTGCAAACAGTGACAGATAGCAGACATGAAGCTCAAGTGGAGGTGCCGGGCAAAGGTGCTATATCCTAGACAAATGGTAATTTACAAATTCGCTGTTGTCGTTGTCGTAGGCGCCGTCGTATTCGCCGTCGTAGTCGCTGACGTAATCACCGTCGTAGTCGTCGTAGGCAGTACCGTTAGTATATTGAAAATTAACCATCAACCGCTGAAACCAAGTGAAATTCGAGAACGTAATTTCATTTGAATAGTTTGTTTAACCAGGGCTTAAACAATCGTCACGTCGGTCATAGCTAGTTATGATTGCCTGAACCATGCGTAAAGAGCAAATCGAAAAATTGAACGTCGCGTGAAAGTGGAACTTAATGAAGGCCTAACCCAACAAACAATTTGAGCAGATTAGGAGCTGAATAAGCAATTTTTTGGTTGAAGAAGCATATTTTTGTCTGAACAGGCTCTTATTAAGCATTTAATGTTTGTTGGGAAGTACTCTTTCGTAGCTTTTAGTTTTAGGATTTGAAAGATCGTCGGTTGCACCCTCCCCTTGGCTAGTTTTTGCACCTTGCTGTTGGTGGGCGGGCTTAATTTCATGCTAGTGGAGTGTTGGAGACGGTAGGTTTATAGTCGGCGTTGCTGGCTCATGCCGCGATAGAATGGCGTCATGGGCAGGTAATGGGGATTTCTAAGCTTCCCCTCTATGATAAACCACTGCATGAGAGAGCCAAACATCTAGTCTAGCAGTGATAGTATCACACTTGTTACTCTTGTTACAAAGTGAAGCATTTTAGTCACTTGAAGGTGTCACCTGGGACGAACAAAGATATAATTAATATATGTCAAAGCCAGAAGTACTTGAAACACGTAAAATTTTAGTTGAAAAGCATGGGTTATGATTGTGTAGGTAGATTGGAGATTTCAGTTATTTATTAAATAAACTACAATTAGAGAATTCAGAAAGTTAATTAACATAAGAGATAGGACGCGGGGGGTCCGCTTAGGGAGGCGACTAGCCTATGAAGTTGTATAATAAATCTTCCTATTTAGCGTATTTGTTAATTACAGGCAATGTCAATAGCGAAAGTCATATCTTCAACCAGGCGCTTACGAACAAGTGAAGGTTTAGGAAAGATGTGTTAAATATGTTGATAGGTTGGAAATAAAAATTAGGATTGTTGCTAAAGCGGTAAGGTATGATGTGTCAACAAAACCCTTTTGAGCAAATTTTCAAACATCAAATTGATTGAGTGATTTATTGAAAGACATTGCGTTGCGAAAATTGACAAGTCATACATCTAACATAGTATTAGTAGCAGTGTCGCATAATCTTATCACAATTGCTGCAAATAGTGCTGGAGGGGCCGGCAGGGCTTAATACGGATCAAAACTAACATAACTACTAACACTAAAATGATCCCGGATCTAACACTTATCCATTGCACTTTTAGTTATACATTAGTTTTATTTTTCTACTAAGTCATCTATGCTTCTTTCTATTGTTTGGATCAAGTACAACTAATACTAACCTACCTTTATGTATGTTTTACTCCCTTTTAACCCATTATCTTTATGAATGGCGAATCATATGACGTGAGACACGTACAAGCTGGAACTCAAAGAATTACTTCGAACAGGATATCAAACAAATTCAGGACCAATCCAAATGAGACCAGAAACCAACAAGGCATCGGGGCGTTATATACTCGGAGAGGTATTTGATAAATAATCAAAAAGTGGTAAGTTAAAATCATAGTGGAGCCAAGGATCATGAGAGGTAATTGTCAATAATTCATTAATTAGTAGAAATCTCGATAACTTTTTCAAGGGAGCGTATCGGCTTTTCTAGGCGGTGCGTTTGGTCGTCGATTTGGCGTAACTGGTGGTTCGCCCGCGCGTGCTGGCACTATCATCAGATAGGGGAAATTTTCCTCTACCCGTTGGTGGTGTTGATAGGCGTGTGTGAGCTGCCGGTTGCGCCGGATCGACGATCGGATGCATAGCAGAAAAAAACAGATTGGGAAGGACAATAGACACAAGTTGAGACAACAAACAAGACAAGTGGGGGTTAATACACAAGACAAAATGACAAAATAAGTGACGACAGAAGACAAGACTGGGACAAAAATCAACCTTTTAAAAAAACAAGAATACGCAATTATAATATCAAAACTATTTGGATCAACACAAAAACAACAGTGACCAAACGAGCACCATAGCCTAGGAACGTCTGCGTGTTGATTTAAAATAAAAGCTCATAGAAGCAAAATTTATCAATAAAAGGGGTCCAGTGTAGAGTTTAAGCAAGTTGCTACCACTGTGATTACCACAAAAAAAAAGGGTTTGAAAGATCGTCGGTTGCAGTGGCTTGCTTACTGAGCAGCAAAAAAGCGGTCACAGGTCCTTTCATATTGAAAATGTATGTTAAGATCACTTGTTTATCGTGTATTTTATAAACTTTTCGTTGTCGTCAGTGCCGGGTTTGAATAGTTATAACAACTTGAGTAACGGTATAATGTAATATGAGGGGCTCGGTGGCCTTAGAGAAACCGTTTTTGCTTACTGAACAGAATATCATGAGTCTAATCTCAAGCCCATCCACATTCAAGATTCGTCAATCGTTTTATTTGTTAACATGACTACATGGTAACAGCAACTCGATGACTAAAAAGGAGCTCGCCTGCCTAGTGGCAAACGTTTTTGCTTACTGGGCAGAAGACCGTGGATTCAATCAAAAGCTCCTTCGCGTTGTATGATCGTTAGGACATCAATTCAGCTTATCGTTTACCAAAACGAACCCAGCTGGAAATCCAACCCTATTACCCAATATCCCAGTGATTCCTCGTGGAAGTGCAGAGGTGTTCTCGGCTTCCATCAAAGCGAGTGTCACGTCAACACATTCCTACCCCTCCCTTTATTGACCTGTGTTCGGGCGCAGCCGGCGCTGGTATTGCCTAGTTTAAGATCACCAATGTTTACACACTGAGGATGATTGGTAGTCCCAAGCATCGTCTATTGGTTCTCTGTGTAATTAAAACTGGTCTGGCAATAACAGAGTAGCAACCGTGGGCGGTCAATCATGTTCATGTCCATTGTAAGTAATTTTGTCATTGAACTCGGTGATAAGTGCTACCGCGCGCTCGGCGTTATCCTTGACGACTCTCAATTTCTTCAGTTGCTCAACTGCATGCTGATAGCTTGAATCTTCCATCCAAGTTTCAGGGCAGCGATCCATAAATTTCAAGTCGATATTGAAACGCTTAAAAAAGTAAACCGTTTCTACGCCTACAAAATCCTCTAGCCCAAGATTTTAGCACAGCGAAATGTCTACTTCTCCTCGACGCACGCATTTGGCGTCCAATTTACGCTTCAATGCTGAAAACCATTTTAATTTTAGTTGCTTTTGAAACATCTGGATCGAAAAAGGAAAGGGCAACAGTTTCAGAGCTCAGGTACCATAAATGGCGTGAAAATTATTCAGCGGCAGCCAACCACATCTTGATTCATCGTTGGCAGCTAAGCGCTTGCAATGTTTCAAGGTCGTTTTGAGGTGCGGAAAAAGGAGATGGTGCTTGAAACCAGGCTTTGACATAGATTGACATTTCGTTATATGCTTGATTTCGTCCTTTGTGAGACTAAACTGGTCTTTGAAGAGAAAAATCTTCAAGCAATACAAAACTTTGCTCATCCATCGTGCTCTGTGAACAGCTCCTGGCTTCTTGAAGGACACTCCGTTTGCCGGTGTTCCTCACAAAAATATCATACAGAGTTGTAAAACCTTCCTGTAATCATCTCTGGGTTGGAATTACCGTAATTAATAAAAACAAAGTAACGTTCAATAATTTTGTTTACATTCAAAGTGTTTTTAGTTAGCGATTTTCAGAGTTGGTTGGAAATGATAACATGAAGCTTTAGTGTGATAATTTATTAGCTAGAGAATGATCTTTAGAAGAGGGTAGGTGGATAGTTCCGTTAGAGTCCGACAGTATGAAAATTGAATAAAAGTTGAAAATGAGCGAAGGGCCATTAATGCGACAGTTTTTAAAGTTAGACGCACATTTTTTGCCGAACCCGTACGATGTACGCGGAGACTTGAAGTATGTCTTCAAGTCTACAGGCAAAAAATATGCGTCCTCCTTTTTCAGTTTATGAGCATTTTCAAATTTAAATGTGAACCGAGAAGTGAATTGCTGGTATAAATTCCTCTAGTATATACAGTTAGAGTATTTTCTGAAATACGCAGTTAGACAGCACAAAATGTTGTGAACAATTTCAATGACAGCTGTCCAGCAGTGCTCCCATTTTATTTAATAGACAATCAAATGCTTACGAGATTGTGCCCAAGATTTGCCGATGGATGTGCTGAATCAACTTTCGGCACACTGTGCTGAGTGACTTACCCCTTGCTACCGGCACAGTTATGACGATTTTAACATTATTCGATAATATCGTGATGTTTGAACTGACAATTGTGAAAAATTACAGGAAATCTGTGAAAAATCACAGAACTGTTTACCGAACGTTCAGCTGTTGAGATTTCGGTAAAATTTCACAGATTTCGGTGAAATAATCTAAGTGTGTAAGGTTCTTTAGAATAAAATTGTATCAATTATTAATAGTGAACTTTAGCTCGAGTAACACATGTTTCAGTCTCGGGGCACTTAATTTTACATGATATTTCACGTTTTACGTTCTATCCTTTATGTCAAAGGTGAATTCGGTCACGTGTATAATTAGTTATTTCAAAGTGTGCAAATCTATCACAAACCCTTGATTTTTCGACCCAGACGGTGTGTGTGTATTGAACAATATCAGATTTCCCGGAAGGTCATTCCATCAAATTGCTGCTTACCTGTTTCCGTTGTGATCCTCCACCGTTATCCTTTCTCGACTTCTTTTTCGCAAACGAGGTAAAACCTTCGCGTGCTACCGGCGCCGATGACGGCTGGTTGGTTGGTGTTTTATTAATTTTCGGCACGATCCCTTCGGTTCTGCTTCTGGGTATAATCCTTTACTCCAGAGCCGGAATGTCTTCCCCTCACTACTCACTTCCTCCCGTTTTGCTGCCTTCCGCTGTTCACTGAATTAGACAAAGTGCCGTAAGTAGAGCACGTTGTTTCACGAGACGCCACGTGGTGCTGTATAGCACGGCGGTGAGAATGATTATTTCAGTACACTTTTCACCACCATCGAAGAGAGCTATGTTTCTCTAGCGCTACTGGTGAAGCCAGCATCCATCGACCATTCAACTTCGAAAGACAGTGACTACAAGGACGGCGACGAGGCAGTTTTCCGAGCCACTTGCCATTGCCTTATTGGTTCGACCCAACCAACCCGACGCGACGCTTGTGAAATAGATATAAACACTTAATACTACGGAGTGGGTACAAGCAAGCACATCGCTGTGTCTGTGTCACTCTGTAGCAGAACAACTACTCACTTCAGCACCCCCACCCGGCTCGAGAACCCTGGCGAAGATTCGAAGATGAATCGGGTAGAAATTGTAGTGTCACGCCATTTCATGAAGGTTTTTTTTTCGTTTTCTGTTGTTGTGCTTTTCTCTGTTTTCCTTATTTTATAGGATCTGCCAATTGTTATTACTTTACAACTATCGCTATCGCGCTTGCTGTTGTCGTTTCTGATGTTGTCGTTATTGCTATTGTTGGCGTCGTCCGTGAGGCAGCACGTGGAGAACGGAGCGAAATGGGTGTCCTTATTTTATTTTGCCCTTAAGTGGTGCTTTTGCGTTTCATTCGTTTAAATAAATTAGTTTTAGGCCTTATGGGTCGCCCGCGATGATGCTCGGTACATTTTGACTCGAGGGATTAGGAACGGTCCGGAAATGGAAATGGTTCTTGGTAATAAGGGTTTATTTGATAAGGAATTGCGGCAAGAATTGATTCATAAAATTGGAATGAACAAACAAAAAACTGATGGGCGGATGAAAGCTCCCGCTTGATTTTAGATGAGCCAAATGGTCAATAAAGGCGACAGGTCCAAAATCTGGATTATATTTTTTTTTTCTTAAAATACTCCTACATAGGATTTTTTTAAGAAATTTAGTTCACTTGGAGTTCTAGTCAGAACTACATTGGATTTCAATTAATAGAAATTAGCATTCTCTTAATATTTATCTTGAAAGTCTAATCAGAACAGCCTTGGAGTTTTCTTCAAAATGCTTTTGACACTCTGAATTTTGTGTATCATACTTGAAGCTTCCGTGGAATTTTTCCTTCGAATTCCCTTGGAATGTCTCTAGAATACTATGGAATAAAGTTCTTACAGCAACCGTAACGGAGGCGCTGTTTTAGCAATGCGATAGGAGCGCGAGAGAGATGTTAAGTTAAGGTTCTACAAAGGGTAAATAATTTGTCTACTTCTTCTTTTTGAAATATTCTTCGATCATCATTTTCTAAATGTATTGGTAAAATTCATTGGAAGTGCATGTCACCACGCCAAAACTGTCCATGTTTCATAAATATCAACTGGTATGGTGAGGAAAGTTTAACCATCTCTTTTCTTCCTTCATTTCTCTACAACAGCAAATGTGACGTTACACTACCAAGTGCATAAGGACCTTTAATTTATGTTAAAGTTAAGTTAAAGTTAAATTAAAGTTAAGTTAAAGTTAAGTTAAAGTTAAGTTAAAGTTAAGTTAAAGTTAAGTTAAAGTTAAGTTAAAGTTAAGTTAAAGTTAAGTTAAAGTTAAGTTAAAGTTAAGTTAAAGTTAAGTTAAAGTTAAGTTAAAGTTAAGTTAAAGTTAAGTTAAAGTTAAGTTAAAGTTAAGTTAAAGTTAAGTTAAAGTTAAGTTAAAGTTAAGTTAAAGTTAAGTTAAAGTTAAGTTAAAGTTAAGTTAAAGTTAAGTTAAAGTTAAGTTAAAGTTAAGTTAAAGTTAAGTTAAAGTTAAGTTAAAGTTAAGTTAAAGTTAAGTTAAAGTTAAGTTAAAGTTAAGTTAAAGTTAAGTTAAAGTTAAGTTAAAGTTAAGTTAAAGTTAAGTTAAAGTTAAGTTAAAGTTAAGTTAAAGTTAAGTTAAAGTTAAGTTAAAGTTAAGTTAAAGTTAAGTTAAAGTTAAGTTAAAGTTAAGTTAAAGTTAAGTTAAAGTTAAGTTAAAGTTAAGTTAAAGTTAAGTTAAAGTTAAGTTTCAGATGATTCAGACGAACGTCAATCTATCCAGCGGGACAAACTTAACGAATTTCAAAGTTGATACGTGTTTTGGAATGTATCAATAGCGTACCATAGCGGACCTTCAAGGAGCATAGCGTACCTTCAAAGCTTCCCGGAAAACCCGGGTCCCGCTGGATAGACATACGATTTCAGCAATGACCAAGTCGATCGGCCAGATTTCTACGGAAATGTGGCGTACCAAATGCGTACTTTACGAATCTGTAATTCATTTTAAACGGACCTCTTATTTTCACTTAAATGCTTATACTAAACTTTTTAAATCAGTTTATATATGAATTCTGGGCACGGAATTGGATTCCTCGGAAAATTTAAGCCCAATTTCATTTAAAAAAACATTATTCTTAAGTGCATTCTAGCCTATTAGAGGATCAAAAACAGTTTTTTTTTATTTGCATCCATTAAAAATATACTAATTTCGAACAAAACCGATAATAACATGAATAATTATGGAGACGCACGGTGCTGCTTGGAAATCTCCATCATGAGAAATGCCTTGATAACTTTCTGATCGGTCATGACCAACGTACCTAACTGGAATTCACTTTCTGATAGAATTTACCAGTGATTTAAATAAAAATAAATGCAAATAAAAAAACTGTTTGGTCCTCAAATTGGCTAGAATGCACTTAAGTATAATGTTTTTTATATGAAATCGGGCTAAAATTTTTCGAGGAATCCAATTCCATGCCCAAAATTCATATATAAACCGATTTAAAATGTTTAGTATAAGCATTTAAGTGAAAATAAGAGGTACGTTAAAAGTGAATTACAGATTCGTAAAGTACGCATTTGGTACGTCACATTTCCGTAGAAATCTGGTCGATCGACTTGATCATTGCTGAAATCGTATGTCTATCCAGTGGGACACGGATTTTCCGGGAAGCTCAAACGTACCTCAATCAAAATCCTTGAAGGTACGCTATGGTACGCTATTGGTACATTTCGAAACACCTATCAACTTTGAAATTCGTAAAGTTTGTCCCGCTGGATAGATTGACGTCCTCAACGGTGATGCAGCAGAAAACGAAGGTAGCACGGCAACAGACCTTGGAGCTCGCGCAGAAGACGACAGGCTACCCGAGCAAAGTTGGAGATCAAATTGAAATTGAAATTTGCTGTTATGATATAGCAGAACCTTTAGCAGCCATATTTAATGCCAACATTGTGGAAGCAGTCGTACATGTTTCCTGTTTTCAAAGCTGGAAATAAACGGGCAGTCTTTCGGCAGCGTCCAAACTGTTTGAGATCATCTTGAGCGAATTTGTTCTGAATCGCTCGAAGAACTACATTTCAACTGACCAGCATGGATTTATTCCCGGTAGATCGGTAGCTACTAACTTTTTGGATTTCACCAGTACATGCATCACCGCGATGGAGGATAAGTCACAAGTCGACGTCATATATACTGATCTGAAAGCCGCAAAAGGTTTTGTTATGCAAGCTTCCCCGACTAGGAGCGTCTGAGGAACTTAGGTCGTGGTTACATTCCTACTTGACTGGACGAACTCTTCCAGTACGACTAGGATCTTCTGTCTCTTCTACGTTTACCAGCACCTCTGTAGTACCTCATGGAAGTAACCTGGGCCCACTTTTGTTTACGTTATTCTTCAACGATGTAGCAGCTTTGTTGGGAGTTAAATGCAAACTCGTTTATTTATTTATTTATTTATTTAATAAGTCATCTGACAAAGTTGTCTTAATGAATAAACTATTCGTCTTAAATAAGGTTCAGTCTTTTTACTCTATTCTCAAATTGAGGGGTGGACATATCAAAATCAAACGTGGACTCGACGGATACAAACAAACGAACCATTGCACAAATAGGCTGGTTGCAGCCATAAAGAGTACAATGAAAGCTCGGTTTCATCAGGGATTGCTGACGTAACATCCTACCTGAAGCACGGAAATCAAGCAGTGACAGAAGATGAGATCAATTGACGTCACCGTTGAGTAATTTAGCTATAAACGTAGCCTGTTGTAGCTTACGTCACGTCTTCGATCAAGCATTTCGAGGTCAAGCAGACGGCATCTGTCGGGATATGCTGGAAGGTTCAAAGGATCACGCCACTGTAGGTTTCTGAACGCAAGTCGTATGAATCTTTTTTTGCACATGCTCGATTCTTAGATTCCATGATACGTCGTTTGGAGCCCATACAGTTGAAGCATTTTCTAGGATCGGCCTTACGAGTGAACAATACAATGCTTTTAGACAGTGTGGATCCGTGAAATCCTTGGCAATATTAGATATGTAGCCAAGTTGACGATTAGCCTTAGAAATAATCGATGCATAATGGGAATGAAAGGAAAGCTTCAAATCCAATACGACATCAAGATCCGTCACTTGATCCACTCTGCTAAGAACAGTATCATCGATGTGGTATTCATAAATTAACGGGTCATTGGACCGATGGAAGGTCATCACATGACATTTCGCGACCCTGATGACAAGCTTGTTCGAGCGGCACCACTGAACGAACATGTTGAGCAACATTTGCAGGTGAAAACAGTCCTCGATCCAGCGTACCACCACATAGATTTCATCAGATCATCAGCATATACGAGCTTGCATTTGTGGCCAAGGGTAGATGCAGCGTCATTGAAGAATAACACAAACAATAACGGTCCCAAGTTACTTCCTTACGGGACACCGGACGTGCTAGCAAATGGCGATTAAACATAAGATCCGTGTTTAAAGAACAGCGTTCTGCCGGTCAAGTACGATGACAACCACGACACCAATCGATTTGAGGCTCCCAATCGCGATAGCTTGCAGAGCAACACTTTATGATCAATTTTGTAAAAAGCCGTCTTTAGGTCCGTATAGATTACGTCAACCTGCGCTTTATCTTCCATAGCCGAAAAACAGGCAGTAGTTAGATCCAGCAAGTTAGTAGCAACAGACCTACCGGGAATAAATCCATGTTGATCTGACGAGATGTGGTTTTTTGTAGCGCGTAGAATTTGATCACTGACGATAATCTCGAGAAGCTTCGATGCGGCAGAAAGGCTGGTTATCCCACGGTAGTTTTTAACATCTCGTCGGTCACCACTTTTGTGCACAGGAAACATGTAGGATAGTTTCCAGCTCATGGGAAATTCACCTCGCTCAAACGAATGGTTTAAAATGAAGGCTAGTGGCTCAGCTACTGCGCATGCGCAGCGACGGAAAACATCAGGAGGGATACCATTCGGGCTAGGAGCAAATGAATTCTACAACTTTTTTGAAGCACCGATGATCATTGCAGATGAAATTTCGAACGTGTCTAAATCAACTGCATCGAGCGTGACATTTGACGCAGCCAGTTCGGCCTCGACGTCGAACGATGACACTGATTCGAAGATGGATGCGAAATGCATCGCGAAGAAATTGCATGCTTCTTCTTCACAATTGGACTCTTT